TCCCTGTATGGCCCCGGAAGATGACTGGTTAGCCAGAGACGGGTAAGATTCCTCAAGGGAGGAACAACCTAAGACAGGCACAGTCGCAGGGGGGCCATCAGGTGAGAATTTGGGGATCAACAGAGGTGAGGCTCAGAACCTCACCCCCCCTGCTTTGAGAGAAATCTTCTGCATCCGTGGATGTCTTGCTGCCCTTGTCTAGCCTGGATTAATACTTAGTCCATAGGCACACACCTGATCATCTACATTTGCCCTCTTACAGCACTAAACTATGTTTTCTACCTTTATCTTGCATCTACCTACCACTTCAGCATTTTATTAAAAAAATAATAATAATAATAATAAGGGAGAAATGTGGGATTCACATATAAATCAAGTATAAAAATCAAACAAATAATTATATCTGACTTGATTGTTTATACTTCATGATGCGTGATCAAAATCGAAAGTTTCTGTGATATGACTGCCCTTGCACTGTTCACCATGTAAGAACTTATTCACTATGTAAGACCTTGTTCACCATGTAAGAACTTGTTTGTTATGCTTCAGAAGATTGGAGACTGTTGAGATATAGGCTTGGGGTTGATTAATGACTGTGCATTGACTCCCCTATACAGAATTTTACTGTTGTTAACAACCATTTGATCAATAAATATGAGAGATGCCCTCTCAAAAAAGAAAAAAAAAAGTGCTCCAAAAGGTGTTAGCTATTTCTTGGTGAAGGGGGGACCCTAGTAAACATAGTGTTCTTCATGTAATTGTAGATTAATGATAACAAAATTTTTTTAAAAAAGGTGTTAGCTATTCTTATTAAAAAATACATATATATATATATATGTATATATATATAAACCTTAAAAGTGAAGAAGGCATCCCACCATATGATGTTTATAAGCAGTCTTGTAGCTCTCGTTTCTTGCCCTTCTTTGATTTTCTGGTTGTTTCTTGACGAATGGTGTCATATTCCAGTATGGCCATTTTGGAAAGTCTCTGTAAATATTGAGATGATGCCCCAGCGAGAGAATTGCTGAAGCCAGAGCCTGTGAAGAAAATATCAGCTATTAAAGTTCAGTTGAGCACACTTAAATTATATATATTCTCTAAAATAGGATGCTGGCAAAATCTCTGTTCTTTAAATAGCCATTAAACATATAAATTCTTGATTTATCACCTTCTTGGAAATAAAAAGTATTTACTCTCTCAAGTGAAGGTGATGGCAAGCCATCTCAGAAAACATTTAATTAAAAAATCATGTAATGCTTGTATTTAATTAGGTAAAACTGAATCAAAGTCTGTAATGCACTCCTTAAAACATGGGATGGCTGTAGAATTTATTCCAAAGTAAAAGGTACAATCTCTATAAATAATTAATTTGTTTTATACCTGAGCACAGACCAAGATTTTTTTCTCCAAATGAACTGTTTCTCATAAATACTAGGTGAAGTAAAATTATAAAACTGTAAAGTAAAATGAGCCATGTACTAGCTCAAACAGCATTCATTAAGATTCTATAATAGAGTGGTAGTGATGATAATAATGGATAACATTTACTGAATGATCTCTGTGCATCAAGAACTTTACATCTATTCTATCCATACAACATGATATAAAATAGGTATGTAGTACTATTTGGATTACAGATTAAAAAAGAAAACAAGACTTAGTGAGGCTAAAAAACATGCCTAAGGGCAACACCTAGTAACCATTAGCAGCAAGATTTGAACCCAGATACATCAAAGTTCCCATGTAATCACTACATATTGCCTTCAATATGTAAATATGTAAAAATACTTCCATTAAAAAAAAAAGGCTTTGAAAGTAATACCCTTAACCACATTGCTTTAAGATACTATCATTTGATTTCAAATAGTCAAGTGCCAAAAAGCTGTCTGCAATTTTCCAGTATGGTTGTTAGTTTTTGTTTGTTTTGTTATTTGAGCATGTAACATGAGTGGGAAGTTCAGAGACAGAGAGGAGAAGGGAAGAATATGATCAGGATTCCTGCTCTTAACAGTACAATGGACCTGACACTTAGAAAGACTGTCTGGCTACAAATTAAATAGATTCTAGGCATTAAGCAAACCTCGACAAACTTCAAAGACTTGGTATCCTACAGACCAATGCAATTAAGTTGAAAATTGTTAACAATTAGATTAAAAATTTATAAAAATATTCTCATTCACCAGTCAAAACAAGAAATCATAATATACATTAACTTATAACTAAATGATAAATAAAATATTATAAAACTTGTACAATGCAGCAAAAGTTGTACATAGAGAGGCTTATACCCTAAAATTCCAATGTTAGAAAAGGCTGAATATTAATAAGCTAGGTATAAGCTATACCTTAGGAAAAGAATAAACCCAAAGAACATAGAAGAAAAAAGATAATACAGGAAAGAGGGGAAATCAATGAACTAGAAACAAATTTATAAGAAAGATTTTTAAAAAGAGTTCTTCATTGAAGAGACTAATTAATAAAGAAAAGAAGCCTCTGCTGAAATTAATCAAGGAAAAAGACAGAGGGTACAAATAAATAATATTTGAAGGAGGACAGAAATACAGATAGAGCAAACCTAAACTTTTATGCCAATAAATTCAAAAATGTGGACAAAATGTAAACAATTCTAGAAAATATATAACTTACCAAACATGAAGAATTAGAATGCCTTAAGAATCCTAAAATTAAAGTGATGAATCAAGATTAAAAGATTCCTCCAAACAAGTGACCCAAATGATTTTACAACTAAATTCTATCAGCCTTTCAAGAGAGATCACTCCAATTTTAGGTCATTTCCTTTAGAAAATAGAAAGGGCCCGAATATTCCCCAATTCATTCCATGGGGCCATTATAATCTTGATACTGAATCCAGACAAGGGTAGGTCAAAAAGGAAAATTAGTGGCAATCTCATTCATTAAGGCATATTTTTAAAAAAAGTTTTAATTGTTTAATATTTAACATCAATTTTTAAAGACAAATTAAATGATTAGGCAAACAGAAATGTTGCAGGTAAAATGTTCAAAAGTTCCATTGAAAACTTCTTTTTTGAAAAGAAACATTAACAAATACCAGCTGATTGTTCATAAGGTCTCTAATGATATTATCCAACTTCTTGAATGTTAAGATATATCTTGCTATCCTTTCAAACATACCACCCATTCCCCGGTTTTCTTCCTATAATTATTCATTACTTCAACACTATTTTTAACATAAACTGTTCCAGGTGCTTTTTAAAAAATTTTGTTAAAGTATCATTGATGTATAATCTTATGTTGGTTTCAAATGTACAACAGAGTGGTTCAACAGTTACCCGTATTATTAAATCCTCACCCCCTAGTGTGGTTACTATCTATCTACGTAGCAAGATGTTACAGAATCATTGGCCATATTCTCCATGCTGTACTACCTTCCCTGTGACCAACTTATATTGTGATTGTGTATTATTGTGCTCCTTTACCCCCTTCACCCTCCCCCTACACCCATGCCAACCCACCTTGGTAACCATTAGTCCCTTCTCAGTGTCTAAGAGTCTGCTACTATTATGTTCCTTCTGTTTTGCTTTATTCTTATACTCCACAAATAAGTGAAATCATATGGTATTTGTCTTTCTCTGCCTGGCTTATTTCACTGAGCATAATACCCTCTAGATCCATCCATATTGTGCAGGTGTGAGGATTTCTTTTTATGGTTGAATTATATTTCATTGTGTATATGTACCACTTCTTTATCCAATCATCTATTGATGGACTTAGGTTGCTTCCATATCTTGGCTACTGCAAATAGTACAGCGATAAAACATAGGGGTGCATATGTCTTTTTGAATCATGGTTTTGTTTTCTTTGGGTAAATTCCTAGGAGTAGAATTCCTGGGTCAAATTGTATTTCTATTTTTAGTTTTTTGAGGAACCTCCATATTGCCTTCCACAGTGGCTGCACCAATTTACATTCCCACCAACAGCGTAGGAGGGTTTCCCTTTCTCCGCATTCTTGCTACCATTTGTTATTTCTTGTCTTTTGGATAGTGGCCATCCTAACGGGTGTGAGGTGATATCTCATTGTGGCTTTAATTTGCATTCCTCTGATGATTAGCGATGTGGAGCATCTTTTCATGTGCCTGTTGACCATTTGTATTTCTTCTTTGGAGAAGTGTCTGTTCAGGTCCTCTGCCCAATTTTTAATTGGGTTATTTGTATTATATATGTTGAGGTATATGAATTCTTTATATATTTTGGATGTTAACCCTTTATCAGATGAGTCATTTATGATAATATTCTCCCATACTGTGTGATGTCTTTTTGTTTTGCTGATGGTGTCCTTTGCTGTACAGAAGCTATTTAGTTTCATGTAGCCCTACTTGCTCATTTATTTTGTTTTCCTTGCCCAAGGAGATGTGTCCAGGAAAAAGATTGTTCATGCTTATATTCAGATTTTTGCCTATGTTTTCTTCTAAAAGTCTATGGTTTTAGGTCTTTGATCCATTTTAAGTTTACTTTTGTGTATGGAGTTAGACAATAACCCAGTTTCATTCTCTTACATGTAGCTGTCCAGTTCTCCCAGCACCAATTGTTGAAGAGGCTGTCTTTTGTCCACTGTATATTCATGGCTCCTTTATCGTCTATTAATTGACCATATATGCTTGGGTTTATATCTGGGCTCTCTATTCTGTTCCATTGATCTATGGATCTGTTCTTCTGCCAGTACCAAATTGTTCTGATTGCTGTAGCTTTATAGTAGAGCTTGAAGTCAGGGAGCATAATCTCCCTAGGTTTGTTCTTCTTTCTCAGGATTGCTTTGGCTATTCAGGGTCTTTTGTGGTTCCATATGAATTTTAGAACTATTTGTTCTATTTCATTAAAGAATGCTATTGGTATTTTTGATAGGGATTGCACTGAATCTGTAAATTGCTTTGGGCAGGATGGTTATTTTGACAATATTAATTTTTCTTATCCATGATCAGAGGACAGATTTCCATTTATTGGTGCCTTCTTTAATTTCTCTCATGAGTGTCTTACAGTTTTCAGAGTAAAGGTCTTTCACCTCCTTGGTTAGGTTTATTCGTGGGTATTTTATTCTTTATGATGCAATTGTAAATAGACTTGTTTTCCTGATTTCTCTTTCTGCTAGTTCATTGTTAGTATATAGGAGTGGGACAGATTTTTGTGTATTAATTTTGTATCCTGCAATGTTGCTGAATTCAGTTATTAGTTTTAATAGTTTTTGATGAAGTCTTTAGGGTTTTCTATGTATAATATCACGTCATCTGCAAATAGTGACAGTTTAATTTCTTTCTAACCAATTTGGATTTGTTTTATCTCTGTGTTGTCTGATTGCTGTGGCCAGGACCTCCAGTACTATGTTGAATAAAAGTGGGAGAGTGGGCATCCTTGTCTTGTTCCCAATCTTAGCAGAAAAGCTTTTAACTTTTGCTATTAAGCACAATGTTGGCTGTGGGTTTGTCATATATGGCCTTTATTATGTTGAGGTACATACCCTCTATATCTCTTTTGTTGAGAGTTATCATGAATGAATGTTGAATTTTGTCAAATGCTTTTCAGCATCTATTGAGATGATCATGTGATATTTATCCTTTTTGTTAATGTGGTGTTCCACATAGATTGATTTATGAATATTGTACCATCCTTGCATCACTGGAATAAATCCAATTTGGTCATCATGGATAATCCGTTCCATTTATTTTTAATTCAGTTTGCTAATATTTTGTTGAGTATTTTTGCATCTATGTTCATTAGGGATACTGGTCTGTAATTTTCTTTTTTTGTTGTGTCTTTGTCTGGTTTTGGTAATAGAGTGATGCTGGCCTCACAGAATGAGTTTGGAAGTAGTCCCTCCTCTTCTTGAGAAGAATGTGTATCCTGCTGCTTTTGGGTGGACTGTTCTGTAGATGTCTGTTAGGTCCATCTGCTCTAATGTTGTTCAGTGCCTCTGTCTCCTTATTTTCTGTCTGGGTGATCTGTCCTTTGGAGTAAGTGGTGTGTTGAAGTCTCCTAAAATGAATGCGTTGCATTCTATTTCCCC